CTATCAGGAGTCAGGAAATGTCTGTAAAGGACAAGAAAATATTTTGGAATATGTGGGCCATGCAGTCTCTGGAGTAATTACTCAACTCTGCCATGGAAGGGCACTAGTAGTCACAGACAATTCATAAACAAGTGAGCAGGGCTGTGTTCCAGCAAATCTGCATCGATCTGAAGAGAGAAGGAAAGGTGACCCTAACTGTTCCAGGGATCGAAGCCCATAGATGATGAAGTACAGAAATGAGTTTTGTTTAAGAGGTGTGAAGATTTTAGAATTTTAGCTCTGAAGTTTGAAGAAAACCTTAGAAGTTCAAGGTGGGAAAGGATTATCTTTTTAAAAAAGCAGAGTATGATGCTTAACAGAAAAGGAGGAGCAGAGACGTCTACAGTGAGACTGAGGTACATAAAAGATCTGCCATTGTCAAGGTCACCAAGGCTTCCCCCCTCCTTGGCTCTCTGCAGTGCACTATTTGCCAAGGCGCCTTCCAACAAATGGAGCCACGTGCCTGATACCACTCATTTGCCACAAACTAGTTCAAACATTGGTAAATGTCACATCCCTCAAGCCTCAGCTGACTGCACAGCTGGCTTCTAACTTTCTGTATCTATATCTTGTTGTCTGGGGCATTTCCTCCAAAGCAGGGAAGGCCCCTCTGCCAGAAAAAGGCAGGCAGAAGTGTGGGGAGTTCACATCACCAAGAGCAGCCAACAGTCTAGGACCCAGGGACAAGAGATGTGGAATGTGAATACCCAATGTCCCTAGCCCCAGGGTGGGGGCAACGGAGGCCTGTTTCCTGGGAATTCTGAGCTTGTCACCCCCACTGGAAGGTAGCTCGATCATATGCCCTTTGTCAGCATCTTCCTCTTCTTGTTTAACTTCCCCCATCCCTACTGGAGTTTCCGTTTCAAATAAACTCTTTGCTCTCAAAGCCTGGCTCAGGAGCTTGTGGGACACCAACCTAATCAGAACGCTACGTCTCGTAGCTTTCTTGGTGTCTCCATGCACTCTCTGCAGCAAGTTGCATTCAAGTTTCGTTTCAGTCATTAGGGTCAGATGAGTCTTTTTTCACTACTTGGTGGTGAGTTTTCTAGAAATGTCTCTTGTCTTTGCCTCACCAACATTTCCCCTAGTCTGTGTTCAAGTCACGAGCTTGTTGACCACAGGAATATTGGTGTGTAGGTAAAAGAGATGGGAGGAGTCATGTTTGAAAGAACCACAGGTAGTGGCCACTAGCCACATACATACAGCTATTTATTTTTTTAAGGATATTTATTTATTTATGCATACAAGAGCTGGGGTACAGGCTAGAGGTGCAGGTGGTGAGAGGATTCACCAGAGACAGAGTGGGGAACAGAACAGGCAGAATGATTGAAATGCACTGCTGAGGGGAGCAGCAGGCAAGACAGGAGAGGTCTGCTGCACCATATGGGTTGTTCCCTGGCCAGCCGGGGATTGAACTCATGTTGCAGAGGCTGCAGATTGCTTCATTAGTGTGGTGCTTAACCCCTTGTGCCACCAGGGAGGCTCCTACATACAGCTATTTAAATCAAATTGAATAAAAATTAAAAATTTGGTTTCTCAGTCACACTAACCACATTCTAGTTTCTCAGTAGTTGCTAGTGGTGACCATGCTGGCCAATGAAGACACATGGGGCTGGGAGCGAAATGGACCACACTGAATGCATTATTTGCTTATGTGCAGCTTTGTGTGGATCACAAAGCTCCTAAAGGGATAGGAAATATGAACAAGTACCTGTATACTACACTGTGGTTACCTAAGGGCTGACACGCCTTACAATGCAAGCAGAACCAGTGGTGTGTAGTTCAGTTTTTAAATGATTGCTTTATTTACATTTTGGCTGAACCACAAAAAAAGAGAAAGGGAAATTCAAGGTTTCCCAAATTGAGATTTATCTCAAATTGAGATTTATCTCACTTGGTTTAGTGTTCCAAAGCTCACATCCTGTGTTGTCCATATAGGATTGGATTGAGTGAAGAGCTTTCAAAGAGTTGTGAAGGTAAGAAAAGTTAGTCCGCTGATGAGAGATGCCAAATGGAATGGATGGCCAAGAGCATGCACCTCTCTTCTCCAAGCATTTAATTATGATGTGGAATGTTTGTGATGAGAATGTTTTCTGGTCTTTTTTTTTTTTTAAAGATTTATTTATTTATGCATACAAGAGCTGGGGTACAGGCCAGAGGTGTGGGGGGGTGAGAGGATTCACCAGAGACAGAGTAGGGAGCAGAACAGGCAGATTGACCGAAGTACACTATTGAGGGGAGCAGCGGGTGAGTCAGGAGAAGTCTGCTGCACCATGTGGGTTGCTCCCTGGCCAGCCGGGGATGGAACTTGTGCTTCAGAAGTTGCGGATAACCACATAGGTTGCGTCTTTACCACTTGCGCCACCAGGGAGGCCTGTTTTCTGGTCTTATCCTGCAAGTTTTTTCTCATTTGGGTTTTTTTGAATTTAGGCTTTGCAAATCTTGTTAAGACTTGTTTTTGAACTTGGGCAGTGGAAGACAAGAGCAGTGTCCAGTTCAATCTGTGAGCTCCCTGAGTGCAGAGGCTTAATTTTGGCTGCCCAGGACTTAGCTGAAAATATGGCAGGTGTTTAGCAAATGTTTACAGAATGATTGAATGACATGTGACTGATGAATAAACGAACATGTGAAACTTAACACCTTAGTGAGCAGTGAGACATGTACCCTGTCTCACGGCCGATGGGAGGTGAATCCTTAGAACCATTCATCATGCCCCTCCCACTCCCACTTAAAAAAAATCCATTTGGTAAACTTTGAATATCCAATGTCTAATCCTTTTAGATTAGAGTCTACTTGGGTCACAGGGGCCTTAGAGATGATCTAGCCAGGTCATGGAGTTAACTCTTGGCAGGCTGGATACCACATCTGATGACCAGGTTAGCTTTTTGTTTTTTAAATTTATTTAAAAGTTTTGTTTATTTTTTGAATAGGTAACATGTCTCCATGGTTCAAAATCCAAAAAGTGAAAAAGAATATTCAGAGAAAGTTTACCCTCCTCCTCCTTTTCTCCCTAAAGTCAACCATTGTTACTGCTTGCTTTTGAATCTTCTAAGAACTGGTCAAGGCATCCAAGCAAGCACAATGAGGGGTGTGTGTGTGTGTGTGTGTGTGTGTGTGTAGCTTCTCCTTCTCCTCCTTTCTTCTTCCTCCTCCCTAGCATATGATACACTTCATTTTGCCCTTTGCTTTTTTCAATCAACCGTGTAGCATTCCTGATGCTTTGACTCTTCCTTCACACTCTCTCTTGGCCAGATTCTTCTCTGGATGCTTCTGGCACCTCTCTCACCAGCCATTGATTTTTCCTTGCCTCCACACTTGCATTCTCTCCTTACTGACCTCTCTGCATGGTTCTGGACCCTCTACCCCTCCTCTATGTGTGTCCAGTGTTGTCTAGCTTATGCACCATCTCTACTGTTTTATTTGCCTGCTTTAAACCTTTAAAAGCTCCCTTTGCTTGCCCACAAAACTCCAAGGGGCTTAGCTTGAAATTTATGGCCTGTCCCAACCTGCCCACCCCACCCTGCTCTCTACATATGTTTGTGCCCTTCCCTTTCCCCTTTGCATTTGCTGAAGTTACCTTTTCCAAATCCTCTCCCTTTCCAAATCTTCTGGTTGTCCTTCAAAGACCTGTTCAAAGCCACTTTCTCCAGGATGTCTTTCTTCTTCAGGTTCTGGCTGGGATCAGTCTCTCCCTTCTTGGCATGGGCATGGATTGCACTGAGCATGCACCTCTGCACTGGAGGTATTTGCTTCTCTTCTACCCCCACTAGATGGAGGGTTTCATGGGGACAAGGATGGTGTTTGTCGTGTATTCTTTTGTACCCTTCACTTAACCTAAAGAAGTGTTTGTGCATCTGGATCACCTAATGTTAGGGGGAAGTGATGTCTTGAGTTAATCCCATACAGGATTAACTTTGTGGACTCCACCCCCACTCCAGACTAAAGCCATCAAGACTCTGGGAAAGACAAATCCCATCACCACCAAGGGAGGGTGGAGTTGGGCAGCCAGGTTGGATATAAAAAACCAAACACGTGGGCCTTGGGCTCTCTGGCTCGCGATCGCTCGCCTCCTGGCTTCACGGCTCCTGGCTGGCGGCCAGCTCTCAGAGCGCCATTTGGGATTCCTGATCGGCGGATCGGGTAGGACTCATTTAAAACTTTGTCTCCCACTTTTCTCCCAGAGCTGTACATTTCCTCATTTCCCCTTCCCTTGTAAATAAACCTTTTATTAACCTTTCGCGTGTGCCTGCAGTAGAGCAATGATAAGTCCTTTTAAGCGCGCGGGTGAGGACCCACAGTCAGGCACCCCGTTTTGTATCGGGGTTGCTCTACAACACTAACACTAATGAGACTCGTGTTTAAGAAGACAGTGTCTGCACATTTCAGGTCTCTGAGAAGTTCCTGTGACCAGGGTCTTTATTTTTTATATTAAAAATACCAAATTGTTCTTCCATTGAGTTATTCATGTGAATAAGAATTTTCAGGGCCTCCCTTGTTGGCGCAGGCAGTTGAGTACAGCGCTGTGAAGTTGTCCACAGCCTCTGCAGTGCCGGTTTGATCCTAGCCCGCCTGCGATGGTCCCACACGGCGTGGCAGACCTCTCCTGTCTCGCCTGCTGCTCCCCTCAGCAGTGTATTTCGTCAGTCTGCCTGTTCTGTGCCCCGCTCTGTCTCTGGTGAATCCTCTCACCTTCCCGAGAATCTGGCCTGTACCCCGGTTCTTGTGTAAATAAATAAATAAAAATCTTAAAAAATAATAAGAATATTCAAAACAGGTGTGACATGCCATAATGTTGCCTGGGAGTACAGAGCCATAAACTAAAAAAAAAAAATCTTAGGTAAGGAACTAGGCACATTAAAAGATAAAGTGATTTATTACCTTTTGTTAAAGATATTTCATTTACATAAAGAGCTGGCTGAAATTAGGTTTTAAGTTTTAAAACATACAAAATTTTACCCATTTGTAGTTGCATTTAGTAATTATCTAACATTCAGGAGTGTTAAGATTCAAGTGACTCTTCAGAGAACTAAGCAAAGCTCTGCTTTTCAGGGGTGAAGATAAAATGCCCAAACATGGACCTCTAGTAAAGACTGTGGGGCGCAGACACACACTACTACTGTGTACGTATTTCAACATCTTCAAGAGCGTCAGTGTTAGGCTGAAATTTCAAAAGACTGATGTGGAAGTTAATGCAATTGACTTAACGTGTTTGATTCATGGGCCCAATGCATCTTCTTTAGGCAGTTTTCTGCATCTAACCTAAAATACAGCAGAGAGTTCCTGATCTGCTGTTGATGGGGATATAGAGCTGGTTCTTTCCAATTTCTCAGTAGGAAGGAAGGGGATGTATTTGCCCAGGTAAGTGATCACATGCCTGTGGAAAAAGTGGCGCAGGTACTTCCGGAATCTCTCTCCAACAAAGGCGTAGATCACTGGGTTGACGCAGCAGTGAGTGTGGGCGATCACCTCCGTCACCTGTATGGCCAGGTCCAGCTGCTTGTTTTGCTCACAGTTGTCCTTCAAGAAGATGTCTTGGTAAGTGGAAAGTAGGAGAATCAGATTGTAGGGGGTCCAGAAAATAAAAAAGACCATCATGATGACAAAAATGAGCCTGATGGCCTTGTACTTTTTTTTACTGGGGCATCTCAATAGTGTTTTAATGATCCCTGTGTAGCAGACAACCATAATGAGCAGAGGTAAAACAAGACCCAAGATATTCATTCTCAGAGCCTGCAAACGCTTCCAGGTAACTTGCTGACCCATTGGGTAAATAGTGATGCAGCTAGTCTCTTCAAATTCCTTTACGGACCTATAGAAGATAAATTCAGGGAGGGCTGCTAGCCCTGCCAGGCCCCAGGTGATGAAACTGGTTATGATACCAAAAAGGACAGTGCGGGCTCGAAGGGCAAGCACAGCGTGGACAATGGCCAGATAGCGGTCTATGGTCAGCAGGATGATGAAAAAGATCTCACCGTATAAGCCCATGTAATAAAGTCCTGAGAGGAACTTACACATGCCATTGCCAAAAACCCATGTATGCCACGCAACATAGTGAACCCAGAATGGCAGAGTGAATAGAATGAGCAAGTCCGAAACTGCCAAATTGAGCAGATAGATATTGGACATGATGCGGAGCCTCCTGTATTTTGTGAGGATCACCACCACTATCACGTTGCCCAGCAGACCCACCACAAACACGAGGGAGTACAGTGGGGGCAGGAACTGGGCCCCCAGCTCCTTGATGCTGACTTTTTCACACGGCATTGAATTCTCATAGTCATATGAGGTTGTGGACTCCATTGTTTCTGTGTCTATGACAGAAGAAAGAAAAAACAACCCCACAATTAGGCATGATCACCCTTAGTGAACCCGTTGATTTATTCATTTACACAACAAATCAATATGTGATAAAAGACTATACATTTAGAGATTCTTCGGCATGTATATCAGAAGACATACCAGCCAGGTTAGGGGGAGAGGAGTAGAAAAAAAAAATCTGAAGCTCTGCAAGTCAACATGACCCACTATGGGAAAAGAAATAGAAATGCTGTAAATGGCGGTGAAGAACAGGGATGTTGATTTTGAAAGCATTTGAAGGGAATAATACAAAATGAAAAAGAAAACAGGCTGGATATATTATAGCAATAATTATTATCACTGTATCTTTTAAGACAGTTTGCAGTTTACATTTTATATATGACTCTCAAAGTAATTATTGTGCTTATTTAAAAACCAAATAATTTAATAAATGCCCTTCTCCACGACCCCATACCAATGTGCTATTCACCATGGCTAAGGAGAGAACTGAACCTTGAAGAAATTTAGTAATTTGTCCCAAATCCTCTGACAAATAAGTTCAAGAGTTTAGGCACACTCTTTAGAATCTATGTTCAATTTCTCATCGCTAGATCAAATGCAGTGATTTTTAAATTTAATTACAATAATTACAATTTAAGCAGCATTAACCTAGGTTCCTTCCCATTTCCTGCTCCTAATGCTGAGATAAGCCAGTTAACAACAAGTACCTTAGAGTTTCTTCTTCTTAAAGGGGCTGAGCAGGAGTAGGCCAGTGTGATTCTTACTAGGTCTGATATTTTTGGAGCAGAATCTCTAGGACGAGTGTCTGCTTGCCTAAAGATCAGATTTCACTGGAGACAAAGCAATGACAGACATGGAAGGTGTAGGGTAAATGGCTTGACCAGGCTTTTTGTGGCCCCGGCCTCTGGCTATCACCTGCGGCCTTGATGGTGTTAATGCAGAAGGTGCTTGGTGCTAGTTTGTGCAGGGTACGTGTGCCTGATTGTGGAGCGTGGTGTGGGCATGTGTGAGTGTGCACAGCTGAGCCTGGAGGCCAGGGCCAGGGGAGCAGCATCACTAAGAGACTGAGGACAGCTCCGCGAGGGTGGCTAGGAGAGGATGAGCGGCACAACTACAGAAGAGGTGCGACCACGCGAGAACACGAGAGAGAGTCAGAGGAAAAGTGTAAAGATTCGTGAGGGGCTGGGAGGCCTTGTTGCTGGCCTGCCTCCCAGCATACCCCTGCCCGCCTGCGCCTGCCTCCTTGCACGCCAGCCTCCCAGCCTGGTGTGCCTCTGTCCCTGGTTCCCTAAGAGAGCACTAAAGCCTGAAATATCCATCGAGGGCTCCTGACTCTCCTTATCCATCTGCTGAATCCATTGTGAGCCTGCCCTGTGCAAGCTGGCCCTGGAGAGGGCCACGGAAGGCAGTTCACCCTGAGCACCTTCCTCAGGTCCATCCTGCTGACTTTCTCCTCTCTAAGGAAGGGACAAGTAGAAGAACATGAATATGTGAGTCAGTGGACATTTCCCAAGGTAAGTCTTAGTAATGCAATAACTGGCAACAGTGGTAAGGAATTGCCTCTGCTTCTTAATAGAATACTGAGAGCCAGAGGGCAGCATTTTTTTGGGGTCCCGTAATGCAAGTGAGAGTAGAGATGGGGGATGCAGGAGCCACTTCTAGACCTCCCACCAGCTGTAGGACTTAAAGTAACCTTTAATTCTAAGCCTCATTTCCTCATATCCAAAATAAGAATCATGATACCACTTAGTGTGGTGAGAATCAAATGAGAGTGTATATGAAATCACATTTTTAACTTAAAAAAAAAACCTGTAAAATTGCTAAGGAGTAAAAGAGAAGGAAAAGCAACAAGAAGCTATGTCATGAAATTAGGGAAAATTAGGGTCTTTGGGAGAGAACTTAGGGTCTGTTGTCAAGTCTCTGTCTCTGTCCTGGTACATCACCCACCAACTGGTGACACAGTGGGGCTTTTAAGATGAAAAATGGAATTGGGGAAAAAACTGATTTGTATGATCTTATCAATATTCTTCTTCCTAGGGGCATTATCCACAGCAGTTGAGGCTGACCATTAAATTGGTTAATGATTTTAAATTGCTTAACTGAAAAGCACCATAGGTTTAATAACCATCCCCTCATCCTTGACCTTGAAATATCATCTTTGTCATATTCTTTATAATTCCTATTCCATTTGTCTGCTTTATATTTCACTTCATTAATTTCTTATATCTATGCCAGAAACAATTTTAATCATGTCAGGAGACATTGGGAGATAGTGGATGAGAGAGAGAGAGAATTCCTGGCAAACTGAAGACAATTAGGAGGCAGGGAGCACCATGTGGGTCAGCTCCCTGGCCAGGGATTGAACTCAGGCCATAGCGTTGATAGCACTGAGGCTTAACCCCTAGGCCATCAGGGAGGCCTTACCACCACTTCTTTTCACAAAGAACCCCTGGTAGTCAAAAGAAAAAGCCTCTGGTACAGCAGTATCCAATAAAACATTCTCTCCACGTGGCATCTTCTGCATCTGTGCTGGGCAATAAAGTGGCCACAGCCACATGGATGTTGAGGACTTGAAATGTGATAGTGCAATTGAGGGAGTGAACTTTGCATTTTATTTAAATGACTGAAAAGTAGCCATGTTGGGCAGTGCAGTACCAGTGCCCAGTCTATTGCCAGGCAAGTGACAGCTGCTTAATAAATACCTCTTAACTGGACAGAAGAATGGAGCAGAATAACTTTTACTCTACTTTCCTCAGACTATACTCAGACTATAATTTTACTGACTATACATTTTAAATTGTCTATCTGCATTTTCTGAGAATTAGTAGTACCCTGGAGTTGGCAGAACTCGGAAGGTTTTGTGTAAAAGACAAGTCTTCAGAATCATCTTAGTTCCTTTTTGTTGTTCTCCAGAATTTGTATATCTTTGGACAAAATTTTTCTAATCTTTTAATTACAGGATTAGACTAGGAAATGATTTAGCTCCCTCTGAAACAGAAAAATCTATGATGGCATAGCTTTTCCAGTAGAGGGTGTGTTACATGAGTCTCCAGAGAGCAGAAATTTGATGGTATTGAAGAAAATTATATTGTCACACATGGAGAATTGTCTGAGGACTGCTGAGTTGTATGAGAACAGAATGGGCTTCCCTGTCAGCCAGTGAAGACCCTCTCTGGAAATACACCAGAACCTCTTAAGGTTGAAATCATTGATTTTTTTATGTGACCTGCTTCCCAGCTGCAGACAGCATTTGCCTTTTAGGGCAGCATATGGGCTGCCTCAGGTGCCAATCATTGTTATTAGTTACTAGACCAAAGGTTTTATACCCAACTGGTAGAGTGTGGTTAGTTCACCCTAAATGACTTGGTTTCATCCAGCTGCCAGGTGATTTTGGATATTTTTGTCAACTTCCTTGCCTGAATATACATTTACTTTTAATAGTTCAACAGCAAGTGTTCCTGATTTTTAATATTTGTAAAAAGGTGACATGTTATTCAGTTGAAAGTGATGACCACAAAGAATGTTTTCATGGGGGGAGGGAGGTGTTCAGAGTAACCAGCTGTTCAGCTTTCTGGCCCCTGCCTGGTGTGTCCAAATCTGCCCTGCCAGGGAACAAGGACTTCTGCCTCCTTCCTAGGTACCATGTTTGTTATAATTGATACCACACTTGCCTATCATTTTGTATTCTGTTAGTCTAAATTTTATAACCTACACCTAGTTCCATGGGATTAAAAATTATTTGAAAATATGATTCATAACTACTTCAGTATGCTCTATAGATATTCACAGGTATTTAATCATTGTTTTATTATTGTGTTTCAGTTGTTCCCAATTTGCATTTTTATAAATAACACTGCAATGAAAATCTTTCAATGCATCTTTTTACTACTCCTTAAAGTAGATTCCCAAAAGCACAATTTCTGTCTGTAATCATATTTCTAAGCCTCTTGATGCATTTTGCCAAATTGCTTCCAGAAAGTGTGCAACAATATGTAGATGCTTGGCACTAGTAGGTGATGGTATCAGTCCCGACAAGCATCCATTGACACAGAGAAGATCTAAAAATTATTTGGCCAATTAGATGGGCAAAGGATGCCTTTTTTGTTTTAACTGACTTTTATTTAATTATTGTGGATTTTTAAAAATGTAACTATCAGTTATTCGTATTTCCTTTTCTGTGAATTATTTGTGTGACCTTTGCTGACTTCATTCTTCTGACTACATCTGCTCATTTCTTATTGAAGCATACAGTTCTCCCTGGGAAATAACTCAGCTTGCACAGTTCAATGTAATTGTCACCACCTTTGAAAAGAGCCGCAGATAAATTCCAATGCCTGTTGCTTCCATGTACCAAAGACCTTGTATTCCCACTGCTCTCTCTTGAAACACCTGTCAAACAACAGTTCATTTCCATCCCCAACAAATCCAAGGTTTCCCAGATGATTAAGTAAGGCTCTCTACCCTTTAATCCAGATCCAGGAAAAGCAAATAGTCCAGACAAAAAAGATGCCAAATCTCAATTGATTCACTCTACAACCCGAGTTAGAATGGATTTTCATACAAATTTGAAATATATAGGTACACAAACGAATATATAATTGTATGTACATGCATAAATGTCACTTATATTTTTACTTGTTCTTACAAGCTATGTCAATAAACAAGAAAACTAAAAAAAATGCAACCCTTTCAGAGGGGCCCTGTTCTCAATAGTTGAGAAGCTGTGAAAGAAAGGAAGTGTAAGTATGAAGTATAAGAAGGCTACATGTGGTCTGATTGTGGTCTGAGTAGGAGGAAGGAGGGAAAATGGGAGAAAGCAAGACAAAAGTGGACAGATTTTGCAGTGAACTCTCCCACTCTGGCCCACACTACCTGTGATATTGCCGTGGTCCATCCTGCCCCTCCTTCCTCGATCCAAAAGCGCTCCTGCAAGGTATTGCTTCTGCTTGTCTAGCTTCCCTTTTCCTAGAAACCTGACACACTCCTTGGAAATCTCTTCTTCACAAATCAGTCTGTTGTATTTAATGCATTCTCACCCAGATGAGAACAAAAAGAAGTACCTGCTAGTTTAGTAAAGTTCTTGCATCCAGTGATGGTTTAGGTCTCGCCCCTTAAGAAACAGAGATACTATCTGATCAGAGTATCAGTAAGCTAGGAAACAGCAAAAACTTCCCCTTTTAAACTGGCTAGTTTATCAGCTTTTCTTCAGGCAAACATTGAATTTGGTGCAGTTATGTTTTATTGAGATCACACACTGAAGTTGAGTAATCCTTGAGATGAACGCTGCTGATACTCAGCAGTGTTTTTCATTCCCTTGTCACTTTTTTGGGGGAGTGGTGGGGTAGATAGAGGGTTTATTCTTTTTTCCCGTCAAATTTTATTTGTTTGTCAGTGGTTTATATAACTATATCACTCAGAGTGCATTTTCACGCCCACCTAGGTGCAGATTTCACCTCTTCCTATCTGCTTCCCTAGGCCCTCCTCTGGGGCTGGGGGGTAGCTCTTGAATGATTCTTTTTTTTTAAGATTTATTTATTTATACAAGAACATGGGTACAGGCCAGATGTGCAGGAGGGTGAGGGGATTCACCAGACACAGAGCGGGGAACAGAACAGACAGACTGACGAAATAGACTGCTGAGAGCAGCGGGTGAGACAGGAGAGGTCTGCTGCACCATGACTCTTGATAAATATTGCTTTGACCCATGGGGATGTGGAATTTAAAAAAATCAATTTCCCTGTGAAGGAAGGATGACCATTTGGGGCTAAACTAGTTTTTCTACAGTGCTCAGTAGCAGTCATTGGCAAGCACCTTGCACAGGTTTTGACAATCCAAGAAGACCTGAGCTTAATTTCAGTTGAAGCACCCACAGCTGCATGATCTTGGGTCCATCTAATCCTGCTGGACCTCAGCTTTCTCATTTGTAAAGTGGAAACAATAATAACTACATTAAGGGGGTTGGCATGAAACCAGCGAAGATAAACATGGGGGAAAGTGCTATAGAATATATAGGGCATGGCAGAGCTGAATGCTTGCTCTATGGCAGAGCCGAATGCTTGCTCTATGGGCTGATGTGTTCAGGGGACCTAGCATGATGCTGGGCACAGAGCAGGCATTCACCTAATATTTGTGGGAAGTGCTTTGACCATGTATGGTGCCATCTAGATAAACCAGTTAAGTGGGCAAGTTCAAGAAATTCACCATGTGTTTATTGAATGTCTGCTATGTATGTAGGAATGTACTGTATGTTTCAAGTGATAAAGTAAAGACAGGAAGAAAGGACTGAGACTCTGTTGGGAGGGTTCATGGGCATCCTGGGGGGCCCAGTTTGGGGAGATTGACAATCGGTATCAGAATCAGGGTGGGGGTGCTCAGAAGAACTTGTCAGAGAAGAGCTGAAGTGGATGTATCTGGTCTGAAAAAGAAGATAAAAAGTCCTTGGGTGTTTTGTGTTATTGTAGAGTTGACCTTTCCCAGAGCTCTTTGAGCCCAGGATGGGAGGGTTACAACAGAGGGGGTGGGGGCACTCTAGGAAACTGCTGATGGAGCTGGTGAAGCAGAGCCTGTGAGGCCTTTACATGCTGTGCAGCTCCCCAAGGCTGGAGGCCAGACTTCCCTCTCACCACTGCCCCTCTGCCTGCCCACCGTCCGCACTGGGTAAATGCTGATTGAACAAATGAAGGAATGAAGGCTCATCACTGCTATAATAAAATTTTTATTTGAGGGCCTCCCCTGGTGGTGCAGCGGTTGAGCGCTGGGCTGCAAAGCTGCCGGCAGCCTCTGCAGCACCGGTTTGATCCCCGGCCACCAGCGAGGATCCCACATGGTGCGACAGACTTCTCCTGCCGCGCCTGCTGCTCCCCTCAGCAGTGTATTTCATCAGTCTGCCTGTTCTGTTCTCCACTCTGGCTCTGGTGAATTCTCTCACCCTCCCACACTTCTGACTGTGCTTGTGTAACAGTGCTTGTATAAATAAATAAATAAATCTTTAAAAATTTTTTTTTTATTTGAGAATGCGGACAACTTTTCCCACCAGAGGTTAGATTAGAAAATGCCAGAGCCTCACCCAACTCTGGGATTTCCAGTTGCATTTTTGGGGCTCTCTGCCACAAATCCCCCTCTCAAGCCAGAGCCTCACAAAGCCTTCTGGTCATATTTCTATCAAACCTGGCAAGTGGTTGTGTTGATCCTTATAGAAAACAACCCTCATTTTTACTTTTTTCTAAAGTGTCTTAATCCATAATCTCACCATCGGTCTGGACTGACTGACCAGAGCCCAGAGCCCACCGTGCTCCCCTATGGCCTTGCATCCCATGGAGCACATACCAGAGTGACTGCTGGGTGAACTCTTCCCCCTCAACCACCCCAACCTTCTGCCTCCAACCTAGAATCACCACCTTCTAAGATCTCTTCATTCTGGCTTTCCTTTATCACTGTCACCGGCCCTGAGTTTGTTTCATAAAGAAATGACATTCCTTGGTTATTCTGATCATCTCTGGGGAATGCCAAGCCTGCAGGTCAGGGTGAGGACTGAGAGAAGAGGCTTTGACTAGTCCTCTGACTGGGTAAAGTCCATGTGGGGGACTCCATGCGCGGACACCTAGCTCCCACCTTCCACTTTGTGGGAAGTGAAGTGACTTTTGAATTGGTGAAATTTGGAGAGAATAGCTGGGAAGGTTTGGTTTAGTTCTGCCCTTTTTTCCCTTGAGGAAGAACTGCCTGCAGGTCTTGGTGTTGCCTTTATCTCAGTCAGTAAATCTATCTAGTTCTATGGTTTAGTGAACAGGCCCATTCTTGGCCCCCAATTTCCTTAACTGGGCATAAAGCCATGTAGTGAAGGGAGTGGGGGAGAAGGAGCTTTTATTCTTCAGATGTTAGCACCAGAAAATTAAACAATTCACAAATGCTACAGGAGTTTAGAGGGGCCGTGGTGACTCTGGGAGGTCTCCGGCTGAGTCTCCACACGTGAGGATTTCTCCTAGATGTTTTTTGATGTCAGGAGCCTTAGTTTCTTTCAGGTTGTAGAGCCTCCTTAATTCTGAACCAGCTTCCTCACGCCAATGTATTCAAGGTCTCTTATGACCCAAGTGTGTACAAGTAGCAAGCTGGTGTCATACTGACACCGACACCCCCCACTCAAGGACCATGGTGTTATCTAGTGCAGCATTTCTAAAAGAGGGATGTGTGACCCACAGGCCTACATGAAGAATTTCTGTCATGGACTGTGTGGAACACACTCATGGAGATTCAAAGAGCATCTGTCTCTGAGGAGCCCTGTAAAGGTGAGCCAGTTTAAACCGTGTTGGCTCGGCCTCTCCCACACCTGTTTTTAACACAGAAAAGAATTCTTTCAAATAGTATCTATGACCATCCCTCAAAACCAGGACTCCTTGGGAGAATGGGAGAGGCTGGTGTAGTGATGGGTCAGTGTGCGGCATGCGCCAGGTTGCAGACTGCCACCTGGCCCGTTTCTCTCACCTTGTCAGGGTGTCCACAGCAGCTCTGTGAGGTTGGAGTGTTCTCATGTGACCTTGCAGTGTGGATGAGGACACAGGTGCAACAAGAGACTTGGCAGAAGTCCCCAGAGAGTGAGGGGCAGAGCTGTACTCTCCCCCAGAGTTTGGACCCTCCATTGCTCACTCCCCTTTCCTCTGCGCTCCACTGCACACACCTGAAGGCCTGGTGAAGTTGTCCATTGCCAGGTCCTCCAGCTGAAGGATGGTATTGTGACCAAATGTAAAAGCGGAGCCCGCAGGGGTTTTCTCAAGGCCCAGAGTGGCTTCCTCTGTCCTGGCTCTGTCCAGGGCCTTGCATGTCAGTTGTGTGACTGGGCACTTAACAGGATAAAGGGGGTGAGGAGGCTCAATTGCTCTTCTGCCATTCGGCCTTTCAGTCTTGGAGCTTTTTTCTCTCTTTCTGCCTGCCTGTGTCTATGGCCCTGTTTCAGCATTAAAGGTCTGCAAATTCCACCAAAGTCTCCAAAATTCTCTTTTTGACTGCAAGAACTCACAGTGGACCTACCCGGCCTGCAGCACCAACATATGTGGAAAAACCTGACTCAAAACTCTAATTCCTGCACTCTCCAGTTTATCGATGTTACATAAACTAAAGCACAAATACTTTCAGAGGGGAAAAACAAAATCCTCCAGAAACTATGACAGAGCCAGAAATATCCTAGAGGAGCGCTCAGGTCAACCATGACCTTGAGCAGATAAAAGGAAGCAACAGCTAGAGCAGCAAGTACAGTGTGTCCCTTCATCACACCCATCCTTGTGTCCAGCTCTGGGGCAGGGTCTGGCAGACCAGCTGGCACCGAGGCTGGCTGGAGCCCTGGAGTTCCTTTCACTAACATCCCCCCCGGAGAAGTTCAGGGAAGGGTCTCTGCAGCCCGGGCACATTGGTGGTCAGATGAAAGCTCTTCCCCTCACAGGCTGCTCCACAAGGAAGACTGGAACAGGCACATGGAAGCTGTTATTTGGGGGGAGATGGTGAACTTCTCAAGATTTAAAGAAAACAGAAAAGGCTAGGAGGAACTTAACAAAGTAGGTTAAGCAATGAGCCCAAGACCATGCTGTCTAAAAGCAGTAAGGCTCAACCTAGAATCTACTTCTACCTGATTCCAGCCCCCCTCCCTCCAGCTGAGACTCTGCTGCTCCCTGGCCTGGCAGGAGGGGTTGGCTGGGAGTATTTCAGCTGGTCCTCTAGTCCACAACTCCGCCTTGGAGATTCAGCAGCTTATTTTTATGTCAGAAAATCTTTGCTTTAATTCTACATTTCTTTTTAAAGATTTATTTATGCATATAAGAGCTGGGATACAGGCCAGAGGTGTGGGGGGGGCGGGGGTGGTGGTGAGAGGATTCATCAGAGACAGAGTGGAGAACAGAACAGGCAGATTGACTGAAGTACACTGCTGAGGGGAGCAGCGGGCGAGACAGGAGAGGTCTGCTGCGCCATGTGGGTAGATCCCTGGCCAGCCGGGGCATTGAACTTGTGCTACAGAGGCTGCAGACAGCTTCACAACCCCTTGTGCCACCATGGAGGCCTTACATTTCTTTTTTTTCAAGTCTGAAGAAAACCTGCATAT